ATATGTATGGTATGTATGGAATGAAAGAGATACAGATTGTACTGTCAGCTTGCTTATTTTTCTTAAGAGCAAAGTCCACATGTCATACTAACAAGAAACTATGGTTGTAACTACAGGTCGTGAGCTGTAGTTCCAACCACACAACTTTGCGATGCTATTTTTGAATGTTCGTTGGAACTATGGTTTCGGGAAACGGCAAATTGTTGAACTACGTTGGGAGCAGTGGAACTTGCAACCATATTTGGCTAACGATGCTTTTGGGAAACGCACCCGTTACGTTGTATCTGTCAATCTGCACAACTACAGATACAGTTTGCTCAAACACAGAACAGTTTCTGTGGGTAATTCCAGTCTAAACAACACAGCTAAAGCTGCAGTAATGGGTCGAAAATTAGGTTAAAAGGCAGCGTCATTCCAAACCATTACACATCGACCAACAGCTTTAAAAAATACCCCACTAAAGATCATTATAGTAATTGTTAAACCTTTCAAAATGTTTCTTCAACCTTCTACCTCATAGCAGACACACACAAAACATCCCACTGGAGTTTCTACCACTTTCTCTAAAGACCTGGCACTTTTCTAAATCCTTGCTGCTCCTGATCTTTTGAAGTTTGATTATTGTTAAGAATTTTCATAGTTTATTGGAAACATTTTAAAATACAGAAAAGCTTTTTTTTTGTATATTTATTCACAATGATACTATGAATATAATAAGTGTGAGATTTCTTTGGTCAAAACAACTAATGATGATAGTGTATTTATTGAACTATACATCCACTAATTGCATGTCGCTCACAATCCGTTTTATTTATACTTGATTTAACTTGATTTATAACTGGTTTAATGTTAAAATAGTCATCAATATTCACTCATTTTTGCATATACAGACAGCATCACTGAATGCATCCTTCTGAACTGAACTTGGACACTTTTAAAGGCAGTATCTATCTAGAATTAAGACTAATGTCAAATAATAGATTAGATCTGCATAAAACTCTGGCACACAAGGGTTGTCAAAGCCTAACTAGTGTCAAAGCTTAACCAAACACAAGGGCAGTGAGCCCAAAACAGTGTGGCAGGCCTTTGATGTTTTTTTTTCCACCTAATATAGAGCGCCACAGATGGGTCAGCTGGTCTCATCATGGAACATTTATGGTCTGCAGTGCAGCAGTAAAGAGTTACTTTGTCAAACATTGACTTAACACTATACAAGGACAAACATTTGGTTCAGCATGAAAGAAAATGCTAGTATTGTGCAGCTTTTCTGTGTAGTTGAAATTAGAATGCAAGCCATTTGTTTTTATATCACCCATTGTGGTACATTATATGTATTTTGTTTATGTAACAATGTGATGCTTAAGACGTACAATACTGCAAGAGATTTAATATGAAGTTATGTAAAAACTGTCAGCACAGGGGTGTGCATTGGTGTTTCTAGCTCGAGTTCCTCACATTCTTTCACTGACAGTGGCATGTGTAATTCAGTTTTCTATCCACTGCTGGACAATGTCCAGAGAAAATCACTAAAAGTTTAGGAATGATTTTATTTTTGACCATAAATTTTCAGTAAACACCAGTTCTGCAATTTTTTATAAGTTGTCTTAAGCTAAAATAAAGAGTTCTATAACCAAAAAGTCTAATATTTTCTTAAATCATAGATGGATAAATCCTGAAAGCAGCATTTTCAGAGAACTGGTTCAACCAAGAAGTGGTGGTTTTATTCCAGATCAGTTAACATTCTTTTCACATTCTCAAGTAGCCTGTAAGTAAAAGCATACATTTTGCCAGTTTCTGTGATGGTATGTTTTATCCGCTAAACAAATTTAAAGGGATAGTTCACCCAAAAATGAAAATTCTGTCATCATTTACTCATGCTCATGTCATTTCAAACCTATAAGACATTTGTTCATCATCAAAACACAAATGAAGATATTAAATGACATTTCTGTCTCTCCACTGAACTATTTCAGCTAAACTTTGGTCAAAAAGTTCATAAAGACATCGGTAATGCATATGGATTGAGCAGTTTACTGTATTACATGGGCTCTGTTTGTTTGTTGATCAATGTTTATACATGAATAAAAGCCTAAATTAAATCTGTTCATTATGTAAAGTGATCGTGTCTCTTTAGGAGACTTGGATTAAATTGCTCTATTCATGTGGATTTCTTTCACAATCTCTTCATGAACTTTTTGAATCATAACATGTTTGGGTGAAAGGACATTCAATTCTCAGGTTTTGAAGATGAACAATAGTCTTGTGGGTTTGTAACGACATGAGGGTGAGTAACTGAAGACAGAATTTTCATTTTTGAGTGAACTATCCCTTTAATGGAATAGTTCCCCCAAACTCTTTTATGAAAAATGTTATCATTTACTCACCCTCGCGTTGTTTCAGACCTGTATGAGTTTCTTCTGTTGAACACAAAATATTTTGAAGAATGTTGGTAACCAAACAGATGTTGGTTCCCATTAACTTCCATATTACAGAAAAATGTATGATGTCAATGAGGACCAGAAACTATCTGGTTACCAACATTCTTCAAAATATCTTGTTTTGTGTTCAACAGAAGAAACAAACTCAAGAAAGAACAACTCCAGGGTTCAGTAAAAGACAGAATTTTCATTTTTGAGGGGTGAACTATCCCTTTAAGCACTACAGATTCATTTCTGATTTCTATTTATTAATTTATAATGGTATTTCAAGGACGGACAGTTTTGACACAAGATCATCATTTATTGCAATTAATTTATTGCAAATGCTAGAGAAAACTCTAAAACCTTCACAATCACAAAGTTGTTTTTGGTCCCATAGTCAACATTCTGAAAATACATAGAAGCAGGGGAAAATGTTTATATGTGAAAATGATGTTACTGCTTAGTGAAGTTTTGAATTATTAGCTCTATGCTACACGTAGATGCCATGAACCACTGAGTACTACACAACTGCATAACACACACATTCCCTATTAACTGCAGTCAACAACAGAAAGGCATAGAGCTAAACTAACACTGAGAATTTTAAGGAGAACCACCTCAAGCACTCAGTATTAATGGTTCAGTTAGTGTTGAGGAACAGCCAGAGGAGAGTTATAAATTAAAAGTGAGGACTATGATTTAGGTAAGTGATGTTTAATAAGTTCTAGGAAGGAGAGGTATTCCCACAAACAGTTCATGGTCGTAACAATCATTTGCTTTATGAGCCTTCAGAATTAACGGCACCCTGCCGATAATGACAACACGTGGGCTGCAAACACAGTGGACATGATCAGTAAAATTGTGCAATTGTGGAGAAGGAAAATAATTTGATTTACATAAATTAAGTCATTCAGATTGTTTCTATCATTTTATCAAACTACTACACTTATTTTAATAGAAATAAAGGGATATTAGCTTTTTGCAAAAATATTCACCATTCAGATTGTGGAAACGTCAAACTAATTATGTGATATCTTTACGAAAATATTTTTAGTCAAGGGCTGTTCTCTATTTTCAGCTGTATTGCCTCTTGATTTAATACACCATTCCAGGTTACAGGAATATACGTTTACATTTTTAATAAAATCCTCTATAGACAGGCACATTTGGTACTTCAAGCTATTCCTGACATATTTCACAGGGTGCTGAGGGCTCACGCGGGGTTGGAAACACTGTAGAAATTGGTTTCCGTGTGGCAGAAGCGTGACCTGAGCACTGCAAACAAACAAAAACAGACATTTTGTCTCATTCGTCGGTGTACTTCCATCAACTTCCTTCATGGTCATCCAGCAGCTGCTCTGAACCAATAGAAATGGATGAAAACTGGTCCTCGAAATTCAGGAAAGGGTGGTTGTAATCTTTTTCGAGCATTTTCTTCCAGATTTTAACTGAGAAAACACAAGCAGAATAAATAAGTGAATCCAAATGGAGGGAGTGGATAATTCTTATAAATGAAAATTAGTTTTCACGTCACACATGTAACGAATGATTTGCACTTTAATGATGTTTTAAAAAACTCATTGTAGCTGATTATTCAATCAATATTTGGCTATTTTGTAAATTGCATTTTTTTTTTTTATTAAAAAATTGTTAGTTTAAAGGGGTCATATGATGCAATATCAATTTTTCCTTTCTCTTTGAAGTGATACAAGCTCTTGGTGCATAAAGAAGATCTGTAAAGTTGCAAAGATTAAAGTCTCAAATCCAAAGAGATATTCTTTATAAAAGTTAAGAGTCAACCACGCCTACTAGTGATGCGCGGATGAGCTAAAACGTCACCCGAATCCACAGCTTCAAATAAATTATCCACCCGCCAACCGCCCGCACCTGTATTTTTGTCTGATTTAGATAACCGCACCCGACCCGCACCCGATCATCACATTAGGGTTCGTACGGTCATAAAAAACCTGGAAAAGTAATTGAACAGCAATTTCCAGGCCTAGAAAGTTTTGTAAAAATAAATAAACAAAAAGTTTTTGCAGTATAAGTCATTATAATCCATAATTATGTCCCCACTGGATGCAACAAATGCCTCGTTTATAATGGGTTTTATCCCTTTACTCATCTCTTTAAACGCTACTTGACTTCATCTTAGAAAAAGTTTTTTTTTATATATATATTTCACAAAATAACGTTCTTTTTAGCAACATCATATGACCCCTTTAAAATAATTTTCTATTTGGATACATTTTAAAATGTAATTTATTCCTATGATTGCAAAGCTGAATTTTCAGCAGCCATTACGCCAGTCTTCAGTGTCACATGATCCTTCAGAAACCATGCTAATATGCTGATTTGATGCTCAACAAACATTTCTTATTATCAATGTTGAAAACAGTTGTGCTGCTTAACATTTTTATGTAAACCATGATGCATTTTTTTCAGGATTCACTGATGAACAAAACTTCAAAAGAAGAGAATTTTGAAATAGAAATGTTTTATAACAAGCTAAAAGTCTCTACTGTCACTTTTGATCTGATTTTCTATTTTTTTTTTTCTTTTTTTTTTTTATCATCTCACGTTACACATCAACCAACCACCATACAGATATAATTTTACAAAAATTATCTTGAGTCTATACATACATGGCTAACCTACCTATAAACAAAGCAGCTAAGTTAAACATTTACATATTTAACAGTTAATGGAGTAGTTTAACAGAATAGTTAACTAAAAGGATAATGAAATTGCAGTACTGCATGCAAAAGTAATAAATTCATGCTATTTTTAGGTCTTTATTTAGGACGTACTGTACTCTGGCTCTTCAGTTCCAGAAGGGTCTCTTGATGGCTCCGCCTCCTGTTGCTCCTCCTGCTCTTCCGGTGATGCAGCCTCCAGATTTGCAATCATCACCTCATAGGCCTTCCTGGCCTCAGCCGATAACTCAATCATTTTGTGATAGTGGTCCTGTGGCCATCAAATAAAGAGAAATCAGCAAAGTGCACCGAATTAGATATTTACCACAACTATGACCAGAAACTTCTGGTACTTACCTGTGCGCCATCATAGTTAAAGATGCCCACCAAGCTGACAGGAACAGCTTTATTAACACAGCGGCCCAGCGCCTTCCTTGACAAGGCAAACACAAATGGGATGCCTTGATCCCGGCATGTGTCGATGATCGTGTGAAGAGCCTCATCTAGACCGCCTACATTAACACAACAGGCCCTCCATCAGCAACAATTACAGCAGCAATATGAATGGAAATGTAAGTTCGGTGATGTAAACTCACTTTACCTTTGGACTGAATACGTTCACAGTTGGGCGAGATGATGATGCACTTGACCTTCCTCAGTTTGAGGTGTTTCAGCACCTCTCGTAGGCCCATGACCAGCCTGCGCTTCATCCTGGCCTTCATGGGGTCTTTCTGAAAAAGACGATCCTGAAACCTCACCAGCTCCTTCAGTAAGCTGCTCACACATTCATCTACATCTTTTCTAAGCACCTGGTTGCAGTAGCTGTAGAATTAGCACAAAGAAATACATCATCTATAAATTAATATCAACAACAAAAACAACATGATTATTATTAATATATTATTATTATTCATTAATATTATTTTAATTCATTTATTATTATTATTATTAATAATAATTAATATATATTTTTTATGAATTTATTATTATTATTATTATAAATTATTGTTATTACTACTCAAATTAATTTTCTATCACTTGAAAATTAGGCATTTATTTAATCACGAATTCAAGCCTTTTTGGGAACAATACAAGTTGGGGGGGGGGATTTTCTTACTCTCTGAACTTCCTGCTGTGGATTTTGGGAAGATTGGGATTCCAGGATTTTAGTGTTGCATTTTCTGACACGCTGTCATCCAACTTGTGATGAGATGGTGAACCAGGCTGGCCACTCTCTGACTCCTCAGTCCCAACGAGTCCAGGCTTCTCATCTATGTCTGATGAGTTTCATTGTACATATAACAAAAACACTGATGCTACCAAGCTACACAACACTAAAACTTTTCATATTCTGATCAACCTCAGTAATTGCCTACAACGATCACATTGTGATCACAAGTGCTGTAATATATTACAGTGTTTCATACTTGTGTGAAGATGTTGGTCATGGTCAGCGAGGCTTGTTTCAGAAGGATTCTCACTAGTACTGGTTTCGTTTTCACCAGCTTCAGTGGCCACTCGGGTCAGGTCTCTCTCCTCCAGCAGGCGGTTCTGTTTCCTTTCCTCTCTCTCCCGAAGAATGACCTAAATTGTTCAAATTGCAAAACATCTTTAAGAATTCTGATCAAATACGGATTCAAAATTCACAGGAATTTTGTAATTTCTGCACCAAATATAAATGACACTCTTTAAGCCGAATTGCCGCTATTTCAAAGTGAAAGTAAAATGCGCACATGCCGCTTTTACAAGCTATTTAAAAGCGAAGTAAAGCGAGAAAAAGAGGGAACGCCCCCATTCCCACGGTGATGCCGGTATTACCGGTGTTGTCACACGTCGATTAACCGGTGGGACAATTTCCTCACCGTCACAACCCTACACTCCAGTTGTGTTTGATGACACCAGTGGCACACAATTCTCACACCACAACTTTAGGTGGACACTGGACTCACTCTTTTGAGTGGTGTTGGTTTCTTCGCCTTGGGAACTTCTCGCTGTTTTCCCTTCTTCACTAATGGACAGGTGGAGTCCAGCGGGTTGTGCGGTGTCTTCTCTTGCTGCCATGGCTTTTTCTGAACTGAAGGTTCTTTGTGGACTACAGGCAGAGCTCCTCCAACTAACACACCAGCAATATTAATTGTTTTATTACACATAGTGAGTAACATCATAGTTTCCTACAAAGTCTTTAAATGCATAAAAGAGTATCGACTTGCATATTTCAGCCAAATACCTGAAAGTGTTAGTGGTCGCTGGTCTTGTGTGGATTTTTGAGACTGTTGCTTCTGCTCAAGAACGGTCAGCATGTTTCCAAGGTCAAGCTGTACAGGAACTTTTGACTTCTTCTGACTAGTCTGCTGAGATAAGATGGGATAAGAAGCAAATTTTTGTCCCGACCATGAAAATAGTATAAACGATGGCGCCGACGGTGATGGCTGCCTCCGTGGCGTGCTCCGCAGTTGTTTTTATGTTTTTGTTAGTTTGTCCTGTCTTTAGTTATATCCCTGCAATCAGTTTCACCAGAGACAAATTGCTGGACATTCGGCAGTACGCACCACCCGATATTTCACCGGTTTTCGACTATTCTGATGTTTTGCTGGACATTGTAGTCGGGGGAGCAGCGGCGCTGTTCAGACGCTTCAGGACGCGCAGACGGGGGAAGAGAGCCGGCGTGCTCGTGAAGCTCAGGAAGCGCGGAAATCACTCTGGACCCCTCACATCCAGCACACTCCCTCTTTGAACTGTTGCCATCTGGTCGACGCTACAGAGCACTGAGCACCAGAACGGCCAGACACAGGAACAGTTTCTTCCCTCAGGCAATCCATCTCATGAACACTTAACAATAACTGTGGAACACACACTATTTATACACTCATACACTTATTTATCTAACACTCATACTCAGTCTACACCGAAAATTTGCACATAATATACAGTACCTGTACATACAAAACTGTCTATTGTAATATACCTGCACATACAATTGTCGATTTATATATTTTTATTCCTTATTTACTTGTTCTATTTTTTATTATCTGTGTTTTTTGTTCTGTCACTGTCATTCTGTTACACTGTGGAAGCTTCTGTCACGAAAACAAATTCCTCGTATGTGTAAACATACCTGGCAATAAAGCTCATTCTGATTCTGATTCTGAATTACAATGTGTGACCGTCTCATTTCTTAGACAAAATATTTAGTCATTAATTTTACATTCGGATTTACTGTACATCCATTTAGATTTGATGGGGTTTAACATCGCACTGGGGAAACATACCAACCTGTGTTTTCTTAGTGTCACTGGAGGAAGAAGCGGGTGTAGTGGCTTTGTGTAGGGACAATCCCTCTTTTTGTGCTACTGAATGTCCTTTAAGTTCCTGAATCAATATAATTACGGATGATACAATTAACAGGTGCATATTTCAGTCTTTGAAATTCAAACATTTTATATGAACTGCTGGCATGGTGCTCAGGCCAAAATAATAAACTCACAGATGCATGTGATAGGTCTGGAAACTCCTCTTCATCCTCCAAAATAAATAAAAATAAATAAAATACAAATAAAAAAATAAAAAACACACACAAACACACAAAACAGTGAATAAGCCTCTAAAATAGTTTGTTTTAGTTTACAGTAACTGATTTATACAGCAATTTGTTTCCAACAAACAACAATTTAAACACAAAACTCCTAAAATCTAATTTCAGAAAATATCAAATCACAGATTTGACAGATTTTACCTCAAACTTTGGAGGCTCTTGCTGTATCAGATGTTCCTCTAGTGTCTCCTCTGCGTTCTCAGATGCTGTTTTGGATTTCTTCTTTTTCTTCCTCTTCTTCTTCTCTGTCTGCTCAACTGGCTGCGTAGTTAAATCCTCCTGGATACAGTAAAAATAAAAATAAAAAGCATAAATTGTGTCTATTTTGTATAGTACATGTTCAAAATGCTGATCAACAGTGCAGCAGTTTACCTGAGACAATCTGTTGGCTTTAGGGCTTTTCTGGATGACTCTGGGAGGCTGAGAAGCAATGTTTGCCCAGGACTGAGCAGAAGATCCGGTGGGACTGGATTGGTCCTGATCTAAATCAAATTGGGGTTTAAACAATTTGATGCATTTAATTATTTTAGGATCGATTTTAACTTAAAAATCTAATTTAAAAAGATTTACAACCCACTTCTGTAATATGATGCATTTCCCTGTGAAACTGAATATTCAATAAGAAAAAAACAACAACAAAATAATGGTGTGTTCAAGTCATGTCATAACGATCATGTTTATGAGCTGAACACACATGAATCCCACTACAATGTCATACTTGTGAATGACCCCCCCCCCCCATTTACGAGAAAACTAGCATGCTGCGTTTACAAAATACAACAATAATGTACAATTACAACAGAATATATAATGATTGAATTTACAGCCCCTTCATAAATTGGATAAAAACATAAAAAATCAAAACACACTTGATGTGCATTTTTTTATTTGTCATTGTGTAGAAGTTAAATAATTTTGCTTTTTTTTTTTTTTTTTTTTTAAGGGGGT